CATGTCTTTTTTTTTTTGTTTAAAAACGTCATTTTGGGGCGCTGGTGGCACAGTGGTTAGTGCGTGCGCCCCATGTATGGAGGCTATAGTCATCCAAGCGGGCGGCCCAGGTTCAAATCCAGCCTGTGGCTCCTTTCCAGCATGTTATTCCTCACTCTCTCTCTCTCTCCCTGATTTCTGACTCTATCCACTGTCCTATCTCTCCATTAAAGGCAAAAAAGCCCAAAAATAAATCTTTTTTTTTTTTTTTTAATGTCCTTTTGAGCCAATCAAAGCTCACCTTGGTTCGTCACAGCCTCCGAGGTTCACACAAATCTCAACTCCTTGATCCAACTGTTTTGTTTTTCCCTCACCTGTCTCTCCTCCTCTTCTCTGCAGTAACTACGGCCCCACGATAGCCGTGCAGAACGAGGCGGTGAAGCAAGGCTGCCAGCAGGTGCTGTGGCTGTACGGCGAGCAGGAGGAGATCACGGAGGTCGGCACCATGAACCTCTTCATCTATTGGACCAATGATAACGGAGGTCAGACTTGAGCTTTCACAAGGGTCTCTGAACAGCTTCAGTCGCAGCGTTTTCTTACATGCCATACATACCAATGCTGTTATTTGAACTTTCTGATTTGTGTGTCTGCAGAGAAAGAGTTGATGACTCCCCCTCTGGACGGTATCATTCTCCCAGGAGTCACCAGACAGTCTCTGCTGGACCTGGCCAGAGACTGGGTAAGACGACCACACACACTGTAACACTGAAATCCTAGACGAATGACGGGATGCTTCCAATGATTTGGATGAAATATATGATGATGATGATGTTACATGAAACCTTTGCAGTAGATAATTTACCTGGTTGTCGCTTCTTGTCTGTCCTGTGTCAGGGTGAGTTCAAGGTGACGGAGCGCTCGATGGGGATGAAGGAGCTGCTGGGGGCTCTGGACGCCGGGAGGATTATCGAGGTGTTTGGAGCGGGGACGGCGTGCGTCGTCTGTCCTGTCGGCAGCCTCCTCTACAGAGGAGAGGTACAAGTTCAACTTTTGAGAAGATTTCTTGATAATTGCTTTGGGTAACTTAAAGGAGCAACATGTAAGATATCTACTGAATTAGAGACCTTACTATATCATCATACATAAAGGAAACAAAGCAGCCAGTGTGTCCTCCTTCTAATTATTGATTCTGGTCAGGAATGGTCTGTATTTGTTTGGACCAGAGAAGCTAGGCGGTTTTAAGGCACCCCCATGCGGTCGTTCTGGACGCCCCTCGGTTTGCCAGGCAGACGTCAAACCAACAGGTGTTGCAGAGATGAAAGCGGGAAGAGAACTGGTTCAGATATAACTGACTCTATCTGAGCAGAAATGTGGTAAATTAGGATAAATATTGGAGAGATGTTTAGAACGCAGAACATTTTCAAGACCGATGCAGAGCTGGCTAAACACTGAAGCTTCAGCGTCCGTGACATGGCAGCCCGCGTGTGCATCGACTCTAGGGAGGAGGGGACGGGGGGGGGGACAGCTCTTTCCAATGTTTTGAATTTGGACTGCAGTACCCGTTTTAAACACTAGGTGTCAGAGTTACATACTGCTCCTTTAAGTTAAAAAAAAAAATGCAGCTGAAATCGAATCCGGTCATTAAACACAACATTCCTGAGGTAAACATGTCTTCTGTTTTTCTCTCAGACGTTCCAGATTCCGACCATGCAGAACGGTCCTGACCTGGCGAAAAAGTTCCACAAAGAGCTGACTGATATTCAGGTGAGTGCCCTGAGGTTCACAAGAGGTGGTTCTAAGTTCAAATAACAGGAAGTTTAAACCTGCAGTGTGGCAGAAACAAGGAGCTGTCAGTGTCTGAGATGTAGACCTTTAAATACGAGAGAGAACACATATAATGAGTGTGAATAAAGATCTGATGAGGATGAGTTTCTCTCTGCTGTTTTGGATCCTAATCACTCTGAAGTTTAGCTTTCAGTGGTTAAATAATGCGCTCAGTTACTGTTATCAACTGATAGGTTGTTATTGGAAGTAAGGTCAAAATGAAGAGAATCAGTGACCACCACAGTCTGTTGTAGCCACATGTTTTTAACTTTGTTTAACAGAAAAGTAGAAACATGTTCAATTAATAATTAAGAGAAGAAAAGCAAATTATCATCATGAGGAAAATGCAGCTTGAGCTTCCATTTTTCATAATTAAGACCTGAGTACACTTGCTTTTAACTACGTGAACGCATGCCATCAGCCTAGTGTATCCTGCGATAGTTTAGAACGCTGGTTGTGCACGTCCTCAGAAATTAATGCTACGCGTCCGCAAGATGCAGTATGCATATCACCACTAGAGGGCAGCATTGTATGCTGTTGAGACACCAGAGAGCCTAGAACAAAGTTTAGAAGAAAAGTTAATAGATCAAGTCGGCGCCGCACTACGATGTGTCATTGCCGTTGCATAGCAGCAGAAATGCAGGCCAAATTAGCTGGCGACAGATGATCTCTACTTTGTCTGCTTTATGTGCTGCGCCCTCTAGTGGAATCCTCCAGAAGCACGAGTTGTACAAAGGCAAGTAAGTGAACATTTACGTTCACGACGCAGCCGGTTGTCTATGCGTACGCCCGGTTCAAAAGCAAGTAGAGTTGAGTCTTAATGCTTAAAAAAATGATTGAGTGAATTTTCTGACTCTCTATAAAGTCAAATAACTGATTAAAGAACTTCCAATTCAGATGAAATGTATTCAAAGACTTAAGTTTTCTGCAGCTCCAGCTCCTCATTTAACATCCTATGAAGTTTTGTATGAAACTTCTCATAGTGCAGCTTCACTTTAACATTTACAAAAGCAACATTTATATATATATTTATAACATTTCCTTTTTTTTTCTCCTCCCTCCCTCTTTCTCTTTTTTTTTTTACTCTTCTGCATTTGCTTCACCCAGTACGGACGCAAAGCCAGTGAGTGGGCACCACTGGTCGCCTAAACGGCCACATTGCACATGGCAGTTTTTATCAACAGTTAATCCCATGAATTCCAGTTAGGATGACCAGCAGCCCCCCTCTCCATCCTCTCCTCTCTCAACACACTAATGCACTCCTGCTTACTCACCAGCCGAGGAAACGACGCCCCTCTCTCTCTCTCTCTCTCTCGGTCTGCTCGGGCACTTAGTCCACATGATGCTTTCCATGTGGACTCTCATAGGAAGACGGTTTGTGGTTGAACGTTAACAGCTTGCTCTGGATAAAGCAGTATTAACAGTAATATGCAACGTTTTAACTTGAACACTTGCGGACGTAATGCAAAGCAGGAAAAACAAACTGTCACAGGAAGGACGACGATAGATTTACAAGTGTTCCAGGTGACTTACTTCAGTGCTGTTCTCTTATCAGCGTTATTAACCGGAGTGTCACCTGGATTATTCCACTTTGGTTAGTGCTCGGAACTAAAAAAGCACAATCATCTCTTTGCTAATAATAAAGAAACGCACAAACTGACGTATTTCAGAAGTAGAGCAACCGCATATTTGGTGAGTAGGACTTAATGTAGCTGCATTCTGTACGGTACTGTTTCTCTAATATATCTCCATGTTTTCACAGCAGGAAAAATATGTTAACAATAAACTGTGATGTTCGGAACAACCTGTGGTGTTTCCTCCCAAACCCTTTTAGCTGTTACGTGCGAGTAGGACCTTTAAATGAATCATAGGATCTTTTTTTTTAAATGTTACTGTCATGTTCAAACTGCCCCGAGAGTACGGCCGTAGTCACACGGGGCCACGTCACTCCGCCATGAGAGTTTGCACTGAACTCGGTTACTGATTCAGTTCATCTTTTTTTTTTTTTAAAAGGAACCGTGAGCAGTTTTATCGGGTTTCGAGAGTAAAGACTTGGGACTGCACACAAAAACAAAAAATTGAGATTTAAGAAAAAACGCGAGGTGTACGTGAACCTCGGCACGCACAAATGGTAGCCTCCACGCTGTAGAGGAATAGGACCGTTCCACGCTGACAGTAACTCCTGCACTAGTTTGAGTGTAATCCAATGTTTCGTAAACGCATAACACATTGAAATTTGGTCTCTTTGTTTTTCCTTTTTTTGTGATGTGAAAATTAGGCTTGATTGTCTTCCACAGTACTTGACTGTATGAACTGTATCCTCTGCATCATGAGCTTCCTTTGCTGGTGTGTTTCCACTCTTTGAATGTATTGTTGTTTTTACATATACTGTAGGACTGTCCCGTCTCTGTCTAAGTGCCTGACCTCACTTTGTTTGCTAGTTCATCTGTGGATCTTCAGCTGCTGTTGTGTGTTTCCAGTTTGTGCACTCGGGAGATAGAGCTGGATTCTTTGAGTAATGTCAGTTTAGTTTCTTTTTCTCTCTTTTTTTTTTTTCTTAAAGTGCTGTTACTTTTACTCTGCTGTTACGTTTTTACAATAAATCTGAGCTGAGTTCACTCTATGCGTACTTCATTCCTTTCCCTTAACATAGTGTTGTTTTTCAGGAGACTACAACTGTTTGTAGGGGCGGGACAAAATATCAGTACGGTAATATCGTCATCCTGACTTCCTGAATCACTGGTGACACATATCGCTTTTCTTACTGCACCTACTGACATTATTTGGGGCGACTTAAAAAAGAATTGATAATTTTATTCCCTATTTCAATCGTCAAATTCCACTGAGCGCCCTCTGCTGGATTAAACAGCAAACTAAAGCCTGGTGCATTGATAAGACTTTATTTCTTCAATTGAACGGCTCATTGTAGTTCAAATGTGAAACTTCAAATTAAAAAAATGGCAGCTGTACTGTGTTGTGATGTTATGGTTTTAGTGAGTTACTCTGATGCACCCCTCATTCCTTCCAACTGACAAACAAAAACATATTTAAAACATTAGATTTTAGCTACAAAGTCCTGAACAGAATTCAATACAATAATGACCTCCATGACCTTTAACTGTATGTATAGAAATATCTTTTAGTAAATCCACACACACAGGTTCCTCTACTAGCTTGACTCTCAAGAAAACAACTCGTTTATCATCTTCACTATTTAATCACACTGAAGGAAAAAACCTTTTACACTTCCATGAAGTACAAGCTGAAACAGTTATATATGCTGTGTGCTAACAGTATGGATTCATTAGTTACTTGTGATTAAATAATAATAATAATACCATTCAAAGATTCAATTTTGACACTGTTGTTGAACACACATGTTCATCTTGAGCCAGCGACCCTCCAGTTCCAAACCCAAGTCCCTACAGACTGAGCTACTGCCACCATTAATATATAATACAAAGAGGATGATGACGATGACGATTTAAAGACTGTCAAATGATGAAGAGCATTGATATATAATATATATTTTCAGACAAAAAGTTAAAAACACCCACCAAACACAATTTCTTCTGACAACCATCCTGACAGACGGTCTGTGCTGGATTCTTACTTGGATCCAAAAAGAGAATTAAACTGACTTTTTAAGGCGGTGGCTCCAGTCAATACTTGTACTTAATAATGTCGTTAACCTGAGTGGACTGGTCATAGGCTAGTGCTACACTATAGTCTACTCCTCCTCTTTTTTTTCTGCCACGCTCTTAAACAGGGCCGAGGTCTTCTGGCCCAGCGGGTTGTAGAGGAAGGCCGTGATTTCTCCTCCACCGTTGCTGCTTTTCTGGAAGTGGATTTCCAGCAGGTCCTGCAGGGTGTCTGTTTCCATGACGGCGGGAATTCCCGTCAGCAGCAGCGTCCGAGGACACATCAACATCTTAGTCTGGAGAGAGAACCTCCCAAAGTTAGCAGGTTTACCACATATTCATTCAGTCATTTCCCTCTGATGTCGAACACATAGGAAGGAGATCGACTACGTTTATTCAATGAGCAACCTTTTTCAAACAGCTGGAAATCCTTTGTATCTGTACCCTTAAATCTAAACAATAAAAAAACTACAACACTAACATTTCCCAGAAGTGACCACAACAGAGTCGAGGTGTGCACTCTGCTCCCTGACTCACCTTTAAGTTTGTAACATTTCCGTTGAGAAACGGGGTGACCCTCACTCTGTGACTCTTCTTGTCTGGAAGTAGATTCACTTCATGGTACTCCTTGTCGACCAAACCTCTGGCAACTGATGGTACAAAGATAAGACATGATTTAGAATTTTAAATCTAGGCCCTTTCCGAATAGTCACAGTTCAGTATGCAGTACTTTTCAGGATGGAGTTTCAGTATACTGAACTCTCGTGGTCATTCAGTATGCATTTTTTGGGTCCACCTCAGTATACTGAACATTTCAGTATGGATATTAACTTCCTGGTTTTATGCAGTATAGATCGGGTGCGTGCTTTCAGGAAATGAAATGTGTTTTACCCACAATGCTGTGAGAAATTAAACGAAAATCGTCACGTCGCGTCCGCCTCCAAATCAAAACAAACGAGCGTGGATTAATTGAATCAATTTTTAATCTAGAGTTAAAATCCCGACTGAAATCACTACTTTAAATTAACAACAGAAAATATAACAAATATCTGCATTATTATAAAACCTTTCTCCCTCTATTTAAATAATGATTTAACTATTTAAATGCGTCTTTATTGGTTTATTTTATATTATATTCTGTATATTTCTGTCTTTCATTTGTACTTTTCTTTATGTACTGTATGTTATTTAGTGATTTAATCTGCCTTTTACTTGATTTGCATTGTGATATTGTTTTGTTTACCTGACTGTATATGAGCATTACTCCTCTTGAATAAAGCTAAACAAAAAAAAAAAAAAAAAACGGGTGAATGCGTCCAGTTTGGGAAACATAAATGACGCCACTTCCATACTGAATGAATCAGACGAAGTAGGAACAAATATCTGCCTACTGAATAGTAGATACTAAACAGTATATAGCACAGATAGTAGGTACTGACTACTGACAGACTGAGTAAGTATTTGGCAATTCGGATACAGCCCTAGTCTGACGTCGGTTTCAAGACGGCCGCTGCTGAGTTTCTCTGAGCTTGTGGCTGGTTACCAATCCAACAAAAATCTGAGGAATCCTTCCCAGTCCTTTTGTCCCCACAGCCATCAGGCTTTTTCACACACAGGGCCAGTGGTAGCAGCTCATGACCGGAGCTGTGGGTGGAACGTCACTGTCTGCCTTTTTCTTGTTTCATTAGAAGCATTTAGAAAGACTTTTAAGTATTTTAATCATCCGTTAATATCTCCGCAGTTTGAAATTAATATTGATGTTTTGTTTTCTCTGTTTGTTCTATTTTGTTTTTCTAACTTGTGAGCTATGGGACACTCCTGAATTTCCCCCAGGGGATGCATAAAGTATTTTATCTATCTATCTAGACTTGAAATGTTTTTTATCTTAAACTGGATTAAGAAGGGTTAAACCAACTGTCATCAGTGAAATTGTGGATTTTTTTAAATGATCTTGTGCTCCTAGGAGGTTACCTAATGTTTTAAAGGCGACCTCCTTCCACTTATGCCCGACGACGTTCAATTATAGATCGAAAGTGGATCAAAAAAAAAAAAAAGGTTTGCTCACATTTTTCGGACAGAAAGGTGAGGACCACAGTCCCAGAGTCGGGCAGAAATTCGCGGTCCTCCACCTCTCCGCCTCCGTTCTTGGTCTTGGAGAAGTGGATCTCCAGCTTGTTCAGCAGAAATTCAGTGTCCATCTTGGGCAGGTTGGAGATTAATATGCGTCTAGGACACGGCTTGGACTCGATCTGCAGGACCGACAGGCACCCGTCAGTCACAGAAAAATACACACCGACGCTGATCAGAAAAAGAAAAAGTCATACCTCCACCAGACTGGGCATCATGAGCCGAACGGGCCGGGCCTCCACCGTGATTCTGCACTCTTCACCCAGTTGGACCTGATGAGTACTCGAGCTCAGGATCTTCTTGGCGACTAAAGGAATAAAGAGTCAATCAGTACTTTAGAAAGATCCGCCCCTTCATCATGATCAAACATGTTTATTTTATATCAAACTCTTTAGGGTTCATCTTCTGGGAAACACAAATGCTTTACACCAAAACTCACCAACTTCTTCGTCGAACGTAATCAGAGCCGTCCCGCCGTCCATCGGGTAAACTATGCTCGACTCCATCTCAAACTGGGACTCGTCCACCTTCCCCGTCGCTCCTTTGAAGACGACTCTCCTCTCTGGTACAGCGGTGAACACCTGAGAGTGGAAGCTGCAGGTTTAGTAGACACGTCAGACATAGAGAGCAGGTGGACCTGTGTGCTCAGTGACCACTAACGTACCTCAGTCTCCTCTTTCAGAAGGTCGTGTTCGGCCTTCTCTTCCTTCAGGGCTGCATCCATTTTCTCCAGCTGCTCTATCAGCTTGACCTCCTCCTCCCTTAGTGACGCTAGCTTAGCCTGTAAGACAGAAACACGAGCTAATCAGACATATTTCTGTTTTTTAACCAGGCTGTAAACAAGTTAATTCCTTTTTTTAAAACAGGGTGTGTGTGTGACTTCCTGTTCGTCTGCAGCCAGCCTCAAGTGGACACTGGAGGAACTGCAGGATTTTGCACTTCTGCATCGGCTTCATTATTTAACACCGGAGGTTGCTGCTTGGTTTGCACCCCCCCCCCTTCATGGTGAAATGAATGTTTGTGAGCTTGATAGTATTTTAATAAAGTTAACCTTTGCCCTTTTTGTCACTGCATCAGTGTGTCATGAAATAGAAAAGAAATATAAACGACCATGAAAAACAAGAAGTACAAGTAATAATCCACAAGTGGAAAAAGAAGACGCGGACGTATGAGGATACCTTCTCGTTAGCGATCTGATCTTCATAGTCGTCCTTGTCTCTCTTCAGACTCTCTGTCAGTTTTATTGTGCGGTCCCTGAACTGTTGAGTGCGCCCCCGCATGTCGTCTCTGCTGTCGGCGATGTGCTTCTGTTCGTTCAGCAGCTCCTCGTGTTGTTTCTGTGCAGAAGCAAAACAGACGAGACGAGTCAGAGCGAAAGAAAGATGATCCCAGTCAGCAAAATCATGTTTTATCTTCTTTTGATCCTCCTTTTAAAATCTGCCTTTCACTCATTTCAAACTTTGTTATTTAGTAAATCTGATGTTTTTAACTTTTATATTGTCTTCTACCTTTTTTTTTGTTGTTTGTGAAAAGTTCCACATAAAGAAACTTCACTTACATTATACTTTTGTATTTGATTGCATATAAACATTTTACTCTTGCTACTACCTGTTTTTTTTTCTTCTTCAGTGATACATTAAGAAAACTCAAAAACCCAGAGTCCCTCTACACCTCTGTCTGATGACTCAGGAGTTTGACTCCACCTTGTATTTGGCGATCATGGCCTTGATTCCCTCCAGACTGTCCTCGGATGGCTGTGTGTCCTCCAACACCAGGGAGAAATCCTGAAAATGAGACTCAGCAATGTTCAACCCCTCTCATCTGATTTACTATTTTAAAGGAAAAGGTCAGAGAGACATTTCTCTGAGGATCAGTCAAATGATCTGTGTGTAAAATAAATGTTTTCCAAAGCTCAAAAAGACATCCTCAGATGTTTTGCCCACAGATATAAAGTTTACTGTCACTCAGAAGGAAAGGAAAAAGAAAGAATTTACATTGAAGAACCAAAAAGTTAGTTGGTAATTACATCATTTGAAAAAAAACATCGATTAATCGATATAACTCATTTAAAAGTCGTCTTAAAGTGAAGGTACTTTGAGTCTAGTAGGATTATGACGTCAGCAGCAGCAGCACAAGGAAGAAAAACAACATGATAAAAATATCTCACCTCTTCTGAAGACATTCTGACGTCCAACTAATCTGAAAGTATTTCAGATTTCACAAGTGTTTTAAATGTTTTCCTGTTTTAGGATGAAGAAAAATCACTGTGTTTGTATTTAAAGGAAAGGCCCTGATGTCAGGTCGCCTACTAATAGACACACTTACTGACTCTAAACACTTGAATAGGTAAGAACAAGTTTAAAATAAAACGTAGCCTACATTTAAGTGACTGTATGAACACTGTAAACATTCATAAACTCTTTATCTTTAGTGTTAACTTTAACTAAATAAAACATCTTTAGTTTTTATTAAAAAGCTGTTCGGTAAAAACTTACCTCCTAACGACGACTTCAGCTGAAGCCACATTTATTCTTTCAGTTTCTCTTTCCCAGAAGAACCCTGAACGCGACGGAGGTGTTTCCTCCACTAGATGGCGCTGCGGCAAATTAATGTGATGATGCCTTCAGGTGCTGTAGAAAACTAACGTGTTGTATCCGATTATTTGTTTTTGTTTTTTTAATGATGAATGATTGATATTAGTTATGATGATGATTATAACTCAACACATTTCAGATGACGCTCAGGTGGCCTAGCGGTGTAGTCCTCCAAGTGGGCGGCCCCCGGTTCGAGCTCAAGTTGTGGCTCCTTTCCTGCATGTCATTTCCTATTTCCTATCTCTCCAATTAACTACTCCAAAATAAGTCTAAAATATTGATATATATATATAAACTGTGTGTATTTTAGATGGTTTTCTTTTACTTGAGTTGAACATTTCTGAATGTCAAAGAACTTTTTTTCACAAAAATCCATGTGATGTTTTCTTTTTTTTTTGCTAATACAATCTTAGCAACAAACTAAATCCGACCCCTTTTTCAGTATTGTAGTTTTCTGATTGACATTCAGAGCAGAATATAATAAAGTGAGTGTTCAATCTGCTCAGGGTTAGTAGTAGAAGTGAAAGTCTGCCTGAGGTTAAAGGTGTATCAGAGTGCGAGATGGAGATGGATCGATTCCGTTGATGTAAAAAGTAAGAAAATGCAGAAATCTAACAAATGTGAGTTACTGATTTATGACAAACCCGGTTTACAAAGTGTGAGACCGTTCAGTTAATCAGGGATCTTTTCAGGAGATCATGTTCCAGGACATCTCCAGGGACAATTTATCTGATAGAACTTGAACGCATCATGCCCATACACCGATATGCTCCTTTCTGTGGAAGTCTACTTCAGAAGAGGAGCAGTGTGTGAACTCTTACATGTTTACAAATAGATTGTAGGATGATGCAGATACAGCTGCAGATGGACGGCACTTCATTTTATCAATACAAGAATGATGATTTTTTTGTTTGGGTATTTAGTATTTATCTTCTAATTTTTTCTGAAAAACAAACTATTGATTGTAAAACAAATAATTTTTAAAAAAGCCAACAAAAGTATCTTACATCTGCCTTAGTCAGATTAATACTATAACAATGGTGAGTGGCCTTTATAACCAACTCTAAATCATGGACATTAATCAAAGTAATAAATATTAAAGAAATCAAATGTAACATTCAAGCAGCCTGTCCTTCCTGCTCTTGATAAGTCTATACACTACAGTCACCATTTAATGTAACCCTGATGATAATTTAACCCTTTTAGATTATGTGTCATCGGTTTTGGGAAATTGATATCAAATTAGAATGTTTAAATCACAAGATTTTCCATAACTGGACTATTGACTATAACTGGACCACCTGAAATAGACCAAAATTCCACTTGAAGTTTTGGTTTATGTGTACGTGTAGTAACTTGTCAAGTGTGTTTGAGACACTGATGGCTGTCACAATATTTCACACATTTTCCTCAAACACAACTCGTCGTAGAAAGTGTCAATGAAGAGTCAGCAGTCGATAAATTTTTTTAACATTTATTTGTGAAAGCGAGTGAAGTTAGAATCTGAGCTTCTGGAAGAACCACTTGTTCTTGCCCGTCTTGTACCTGGAACAAACAAAAGAGATCATTTTAAGAACACATTTACAGAACAGAGGTGTACATGTTGATTAAAGACCAAGGTTAACAACTCAAACCCCTTACATCCACCTGATGCTATGGAAGGCTTTAGGTCAAATTAATATTAGACTGAAAATCCTATTAAAACAGCCTTGAAAGTAGAATGATGCATTCAAGAACTACAAGATTCTATGATTACGTTTTGTTTTACATAAAGGATGTAAACACTTTACAGTAAAGATAATGATCAACATCAACCTGTTCTGCCTTTTAAGTGATGGGGGGGGACGGGGGGGACACAGGTGTGTTTGGACTCTGTAACTCACCTCTCCTCAAACTTGACCTTGGCCTCCCGTCTGGCTTTGCGCTTGAGGGCGGGGTCTCTGAAGACGTCCTTGTTGACAACAGTTTTGTCCAGAGGAATATCAACAGAGTATCTGAAGAGGAGAGAAAACAATGAAGAGCTGTTTCAAACCACCACGTATAGAAGAGGTTCAACAGCCTGTTCCACATCTATACAGATAAAAACATGTAACGCAGAGACTTGATGGTGAACTGATCAGTTTTACATTTGAAACTGTGTTCAGTGTACGAGCAGATGAAGTTATCTTATAACTTATGGAGACACTTATTTAATTGAAGAAATGTGGGTATTTAAAGTTACTCTATTCATTTTAACTCTATACCATCTTATTTTCTCTGTAATAACTTCCATTACTGCTCAGTGGACACTACTATCAAACCTCGTTTCCTTTCCTGCTCCTCTCAAAGTATCTCATGACTGTTTTAAGCTGCCAGTGTGGCACAAAGCTTCTCCTCTAGAGCCGATTCTTTAGAGATTTAACAAAAACATACTCTTAATTTCCTCTCACAAAATGATAACTACTGATCTTTTTTCACATGTTCCACTCTGCTCTACAAAGCCACACAGATCAATGTGTCTCAAAAGGATCATCATAATCACAGCTCATATTTTCAATCTGATTTATGAAATTAATCACATCAGACATTAAGACAGAGCTGGTTCCTGCTTCTTGAGAACAACAAAGAAGCTTTTTTTAAATAAAGCAGGCAGGTTCCAGAGATTAAAAATAATCTGAGACTTTATATACCTCTAAAGAGTAAGAATAAAATCTGAATGACACGACTGTTCCACAGCTCCAGGCTTAACATCTTAACGTTAACTGACACTGCATGTGTTTTCTGTCAATACCAAATGATAATATATTAATTACAGCTGCTTTGTTTTTGATTACATGCAAGTGATTCCTCCATTCGATCAACAGATATACAAAGAACAGACTTGAAATAATAAAAAGACGTTAGACGATCTAACGTTTGAACCATTTCAACTTGATAACAGTTTTTAAGAGTGTGAGGCGACTCTGGCATCCTGGGTTTTATTTATTATTATTATTATTATTAAATACTTCATCCTGAACAAAGAAACTAAATAACCCCACCACCTTCATTACATCACATAGTTGATGATTGAAAGCTTTGTGTGAAAACATTCTTCACTGCTGTCCAGAAACAAAAATATAATTTAAACAACTTAAAAGTCCAGTCATGAATATTTGCAGTAATCTCTGTAAATATAAGTTTCTGCTCACTCACAGAAGTGCATTTAACGCATACTTAAAAATATGCTCTAAACCTAAATGCACCTTTGATGTTATCGTTGACTTCTCCCAACTTGAGCAGATATTCAAAGCGCCACAAATACAAAAAAAAAAAAAAACTCTACTTCTGCTCCGTCACCTACGATCACGCTCCTGTTGGAGGAGGAGGAGGAACACACTGACAATAGAAGAAACTCTCAGAACTAACTTCAAGATTGATGATTTTTACCATTTTGTTTTGTATCTTTTGCACAATTTAGAATTTATTACTGTAAATATTATCTTATTTTGTTTGATCTATTTTACCTTATTTTGGTTGTATTGCACTGCGGGACAGAGACAAACGCAATTTCGATTCCACTGCATGTCGTCTGGCATATTTTGAAATCGACAATAAAGTTGACTTTTATGACACTCACCTGGTGGGCATGAGGTGGTTGTAGTTGAACACCTTGACGAAGGCCTTGATCTTGGACCTCTTGGCAATCTTCTTCTTGCCCATGGTTGTGGTTACTTTACGGGGATAACGGTCAATACCCGCGACCAGAGCGTGGCTGTAAGGACGGTCGGTTGTGCCATCGTCAATGTTCTGCAAAAAGAGACGTGGAGAAGGGGAACGTTAACATCAGGCAGGTGATGACCAAACACAAGAACCAACAAACAGCTGTTCAATAATTACTCCTGCAGTCTGAGAATGAAAACATTAGAACAACATGTTATGACTATTCTGCCCTACAAAAGGCAGTAACTTTTTTTTGGTCATTTTTGGAACATTACAGATGTGCTTTATCATGTGGACAAATATCTTGAGTCAATTGTGTTGTTGTTTTGGCCTCAACTTCCAAAAGCCCTCAAGAAACCAAGGCAGAGTCCAGTCCCTTCACTCATCAGGGTCTTTGTACTGCAGCATTCTGTAATGCTCAAACTGAGTTAAAGTCTTCTGCCTTTGTTTTACTGCAGATCAAAGTGAAGTTACTGTTTCACTGCAGTGGAGTTAAGGTGTTGTGTCTTTGTTTTAACATCTGTCATCAAACACTTCTGACACACACACACACACACACACGGCAGCTTGACTAAAGTGCAGCAAAGAAATAAGTGTTGGTTGTGTTATTTTAACAAGTGAAATACAGTAACAAATGGAAGTGAATGCCTTTTGCTTCGGCATGACCCCGTTATTATTGTACAGGCAACGCAAAAGGCAGAGTACCTTAACTTCCAAATAAGAGTCAAAGGTCATGTTTGAGATTTTTAAAAACATTAATAACCTCAGTAAAAAAAGACAAAGAATTGCCACATTTCCGATATTCTGCCTGCAACTCATTTGGCTGGACAACAAAAAGACTTTAAAGTCATTTTTCTGAGTTCTACACTCTGGAGAGTTTTATAGATCAGTACTGTTGATGACTTTAACAGGGATCTATGTTCTGTTAGAACCCCAAGAACAAGCAAACTGGTGCACTTTTGAAGAACAAGTCAGTGTAAACATGTTTGTATTCGTGCAGACTTTACCATATTGATTATTAAACAGCATGTTTGTGCACACAGAGCCATGTTTTTACCTTGACGATGACAGCTTTGCGCCCGGCGTAGCGTCCAGCAAGGACCATCACCACCTTCCCAGGCTTCATGAACTTGCCCATTTCTGTCAGAAAAACAAACATTTAGTTTTTTTTAGGTTAATAAGCAAGCTCAGTACTTCAAAAAGCTTCAAAAAGCAGCGAAAATTCATCGAAACACAGAGAAAATCGACCCTTTAAACAAGGC